ATGAGAGGAGAGGAGAGGAGAGGAGAGGAGAGGAGAGGAGAGGAGAGGAGAACTGTAAGGCAGTGCTGAGGGATGGTGTTAGCTCAAGAGATGATGGAAACTGCTCAGTCCTCTCAGGATCTCACTTCTGATCATTTTATCACAAAGCATTCCTTCAATGTGAACATGTTAATGTGGCATAGTCACCTGCAGTGAGGGACAAGGAGCTTAGTTAAGAAGTTTCCTGAGGGCTGAAGTCTCCAAAAACCTTTCTGGACTACACAATTATGTCAAATGTCATCATTCCATACTGCATCAGTGTAACCACAGCAGAAAGAGCTTCCCTCTCCCACCCCATGATGAAAATAAAGTGTTGATTTGCAAAGCAGTCGTCCTTCCAGGAATCTCTCAAAGTTTGTAGCCATTCCATAGCTCATGTTGCTGCTCTGGGATTTCAGCAAGGGGACTTCTGTGATTTGAGATCACTTCATGTGGCTGCACAGTCCATTCCTCTCCTTTGCTCCTTTCTCCCAGAACTAGAAACAGGAAAAGCACTGCTGAAATGGCTCATTATTTGTACTTGCTTTTGCAAAGTGAAGGCTCTTTGCAAAACTTTCCTTACAGAATGACTCCGCTTTGCTGAACCAAGACTGAAGTGTCCAGGTTTTTGTGTAGATTTAGTATTCTTCATGGAAGTCACAGACTTGCCCTCAAAGACCTGCTCTCATGATGGAAACAAGCTACAGTCCCTGAAGGTCTGCCCACTTCACTTACAAATCTGCATGTCTGTGTCTCTAGGGGTTGTTGACAATGGAGAAGATAAGGGAAGTTGCTTCAAACAACCTTATAAGCTACTACACCTCACCTGGAGGTATTTTGCTTCTAAATTTACAAGGAGAAAGAGCAGCACCACAGAATCTCAGTCAAGTGCAGAATATGTAAACTGGCCTGAGTGACTCACAGGAGGATTTCTAGCATCAGGATTTCTAGCAACAGATAGGGAACGACACCATTCAGTGATGTCTGCACAGCCCTTTCTGACAGCAGACTATCATAGAAGTGCCAGCTTTAAAGTCTGGGCTAGCAAATACTGTCAGAGAAAATGTAACAGAAGATGGTCTTGGCTTTAACTCCACCAGCTTGTAGTCCTGGCTCTGCATTAGGATCCATGTATAACTTCCCTAGAAAGCTGCTCTGAACTGTCCTGTGCCCTGAAGGAACTGGCAAATAGGACCCTCTGGGATCTGCTTCTCAACTCCCTCTTTTCTTCTTCCTACCTTTCTCCTCATCCAAGGCTAAAGCACATGACTAATTACACCAGTCCTCCCAACAGAAAAATGGTCATGCTATTCGAGCTACAATCTTCTGAAACAGTTTAAGAAAAATTAGGAAATTTTCCTAAGATGACTTGTAGAAGGTAAAGAGCAAGAATTAAATCAGAATAGGCAAAAGAATAGGGCAAGGAGAGTAGACTTAAAAAAAGGAGAGGAAAGGAAAGAAGGAAGAGAGAAGAGAAAAAGGAAAGGAAAGGAAAGGAAAGGAAAGGAAAGGAAAGGAAAGGAAAGGGAAAAGGAAAAGGAAAAGGAAAAGGAAAGGAAAAGGAAAGGAAAGAAAAGGAAAGGAAAGAAAAGGAAAGAAAAGGAAAGAAAATGAAAGAAAAGAAGGAGGCATTTGTACCTGCATAAGGCCGATCCAAGCTTGAGAAAGTAGAGTCCAGACCTGGAGAACTGGGCATGTCACAAAGCCCGTTTAATTCACAACTCCCCATAAATAGAAAGAGAATGAGAGAGGAGCAAAGCAGTCCCCTTCTGGAGCAGAACCAAAACTCTGAGATGTCCAAGGTCTTTGCTATCAGTCCACATGCCTTTTAAAGCCTCTCTTTTGTCTCGTAGGCATTGCTGCTGAAAGCCATGAGGTCACTTTTTCTATTTTTGTCTTCATAGCTTCATCACTGAACAGTGTGATGGACATTGTCACCTGGCACTTAAACACCCTTATTCTTTCCCCAACCCTGTACTCCCTGTAAAGAGAAACTCCTCTGTTTTATTTTTAAATAAGAAAATATACTATATATTATCACAAATTCTGTGGTGCAAGTTTCAGGTTAGAAAGGTGCAAGCTTCAAGTTAGTGTTACCAATGTCTAAATGTCCAGCATTTCTGTGCCGAAGAGCCCTTCAAAGAGATGAAACTAACAGTGTGTATATCCAATATAGAGAGACAGAAGAAACCTGCACAGGAGGAAAATAACTTTCCTTGCCTGAAACTCTCAGAGAGCATTCAGCTCAGGTAAAGAGGAAGAAAAGAGAGAGCAGAGGCTTTCCTGTGTATATCAATTTTCTTCTATGTCTGAGGAGAACCAGTCATGATTCAGATTTCTGTGTGTACATAACTGAGGAACATTTAACAGAGGAGTATTAGGATCCTGGATTTCTGCAGTGAAGTTGTTTAGCTGAATTAAAACACCAGAGGCTGTTACCTACGCTGAAAGCATGGCTGTGCGCAGAGAGGGTGATGGAGTGTTTGGAAACCAGGGAGTGGTGTTTTGGCAGCACCATTCAGAGATCCAGCACTGGAGACTGAGAGGTGTTGAAAAATGAGATGCTGATAGTGAGAACTGTGGTGGATGGGAAGAGAATAGATGGTGCTGGAAGTCTGCAAATCTCTGCAGTTGTGGCCTGCTCAGCATCACTTCACACTTTGCTAGGTCCTGTCTTACCGCTCCTTGCTATACTCTAGGAATAGCTCCTGTGAGACAATCCCAGAGCCATGGCCAAGGGACACTCTCCCATGATTCTCCTACCCAGCAGCCCCAGCCTTAACAATTCTGTAGCCTTGGCAGACCATCTCCAATGTTAGAGTCTGGAAAAATGAAGGTCTGACCACACATGCTGAAATCCAGCAGCCATCACTGCACTCCAAGAAGACAACCCCCACAAGGGAACACTGCTGTAGAGAGACTTGTCATGTCTCATACAGAGGTTCTTAGAGCAAGAACAATGAATGTGGTTCGGTCTCTTCTTTGATGAATAATTACACATATAGGGATATATGTCTCTTTGGGGAAATCCTGTAATATTGATACATGCCATTGGAATGAAAATACAGCTCTGTCTCTTGTAAGAACATTCAAATGGAATAGATTAAAGAGTAAAAGGAAGGGTTATAAAAATCTCATAAATTCTGTTGGTGTGGTGAATGATTTCTATAGAAAACTTTTTGTTAACTTCTAAAGCACTTATTTCATGTACACACTGAATTCTGCTGGAAAAAATACTCAAAATGGAAAAATATCTATTAAGCAAAGCCTATGAAGATTTTCCTCTTAAGTAAATTTCATTGATGTGACATGATTTTTGTTACTAATTACAGTAAAAAGAAGTGTAAAAAGTATAAATATTTTCAAGATCAGGCTTTATTAAAAGAAAGCATTTTAATGTATGCCCAGGCAAGCTACTAAGCAAGCAGGCTTACGTGAGGTTAGATACTGTTCATGTTCTCTAGGAAACAAACAATGATAAATTTTATTACGGAGATCGAATTCTAGAAAAACCATTACTATAGAAAATAAGGTGCTCTGCTGCTTCCAGA